ATATGTATATTTTATAGACTAATGCATTTCGTACTGATCGGTAAGCGTTTGTAGATTGCAGCCAATGTGCTCTGTGTAAGCGAAGCATTTTGCATTTTTGGCTTGGTGCAATTTATTTTATTTTTTTTTTTATTTACTTTTTGCTTTAATTTTTTTTTTTCATTTTTTTTCTTTGTTTTTTTTTTGTTTTTTGGCTACAAAAATACTCTTTATACAATACTTGAGGCTTCAATGCGCTTAACTGTAAAATATGTACTGATCGTAGCTATATAAGTAGTATATATACATATATGTATGTATATATAGATGAGTGTATGTATGTATGTGTGTGTGTGCGGGTGTCTGTGTTTGCTTGTCTCTCTCTCTATAGGTAATTGTATATGTATATATGCATGTATAAATAGAATTTGGTTAATCTCAATAATTAGGCCACTATTAAAAAGCATTCGACTTCACCAGCGATTGACGTAGAACTGATTGATGCCCATCACATGCTTCTCCTCATGATACTTCTGCAGGATATGTGTGATAACGGAGGTGGTGTCATTGTCGCCGCGCCACACGCGTATCGCATTCTCGTTCTCCAGTATGGCCAAAAAGGCTAAATGGAGGAAAGAACAATATTAGAAAATAATTTATGTATGGAATATAATTTATCCTGATAAGAGACTTACTAAGGGAAAAGTAAAGGTAACTAATTTTAATATATAAAATTAATTATTGTCTACATATACATATAATTTATACTGAATTTATAGCTACAGAATAGATGGTAAATGAAGCCTCAGCATCCGACTACAATATACCAGGTGAAATTAAAATGTTTCATACTCATGCAGAGTATACATTATAAGGGTTTGGATTTTCTTTAAGCTGATTCTCATCTTTATATCTCTTTAAATAAATATAATATATCTGGAAATATACTATGCTAACTATACTATGAATGTATATGGTATGGGACAAAGGGAATCGCCCAGTGTTCTTTTGATTTTTCCTATACGATCAATTTTTACTATAAAAACCAAATGTTCTCTAAACACATGGCTCATGTGTGTATGTTTATATGAACGTCAGCAACGTTGAGCTACTGATTCTCAGTTACTGATTCTCATCGTGGGAACGTCAATCGTGTTTGATAAACGAATAGGTCAACTCAGGGCGCTCAACAGAAAACAATAACGAACGGATCCAAAGGCTCTTGAGCGCGAGAACGAATGAATATACTTGAATCCCCAATACACACTTACCCAAAAAGGTTTTCGGATTGCTCAGCGTCAATTGCACTTGCGGCATTTCCAGTATTACTTTAAGTATTGGGGAATCGGGAGCGAGACCCTCGCGCAGCTCAATGACACTGCCCGAGCGATTTTCGCACAGCCAGTCACAGGCGGAGGCCTTGTTGTTGCCCGTCTTCCTGAGCGCGGCAAGCACGGCATCCTCTTCAAAGCCCATTTCAGTCAAGGACTCGACAATCTCGTCATTTGGCGGCGTATCGCGATGGCTGTAGATGCGCACAATTTGCAAAAGAGCAGCCGTGTTCTCAATGGTCTCCTAAAAGACAGAGAGAGAGTTAGGAATTAGTATATATAAGATGTAGTAAGTAGTCTAGAGCGCTACATTATCGGTAACTATGGTTGAGGGCGATATGGAGGAGACACTTTGATGCATATTCATGGGCGCCGTTACGGAGCTTGAGCCGCCCTCCTCCTCCCTTTGATTCTGTATGAGCCACTCCAAGGTAGTTGAATATACGCCATTATTGGAACGCAAAGCCTGGGCAGAAATCTCACGGGTGAAGCCCATGTCAACGAGGCACTGCAGCGTATCCGCTTGATGATTGCGACGATTGACCAAGCGCTGCTTCAGCATGCTAATCAAACGTGGTGCAAACGGCCCAGCTCCGATAATGGCAGCCGAAGCCTGAGCGAGCGAGATGAGCACCTTGCGCACATCGTATTGTATCTACAAAGAGACTGCGTTAAGGCTTCCCATATAAGGTATTGCTGTCCACTCACATTCGACTGCTGAAAGATCTCATTGATGTCGATGATAGGCAGCGAGTTGGTGTTGGCGTGCACAAAGCGCGTTGCACTCTCCAGCAGCGCATCGTTTGGTCCAGGCACCTCGCGAGTGCGCGTCACAGTCTGTGGCAGGGTGTTTCGCCTGGGTGACAGGATGAAGGTCTCATTGTCGCGCACATGCAGCTGAGCAAGTGTCTGCGCCTCGTTGAGTTCCCCGCCACAGTATTCCGCCTTGAAGAGGCGATAGCGTGGATTCAAGTGACGCACATCGGGCGCAAATAGCTGTATCGACTCTGGATCATCGCTCAGCTCCAAGATGACTTCACTCTTGAGATCGTTCAGGCGCTTGTTGATGTCCGTTTTGAAGATGAGGACACGGGAACTAGGACAGATAACACGCACGGTTATTGTTGCGCCAGCTTTGCCCACATCCGGATCATCAACAACCGAGGTTGAGGCTGACGCTAGCCTGGCATGGTTTTTCCTATCAAAAGAAAAAACAATATAGTAAGTAGTCGATCGACTTTGTTGTACTGCCTCCCACTTACCTAAGAAACAAACTGCGCAATTTTTGCATAGTTTGTTTTATGGTGTTATTGTTTAGTGTTTGTGGGTTCCAACAGAGAATTTGGATGAAACAAAATAAAAAAAAAAAGACAAAATTATTATTTCACAGTGATTGTTTATTTGATTGGCAACTTACGCATTCGCCTGCTGTTCCGCATGCTTGACCTTCTGTTCCTGCTGCAGCTGCAGCTCCAATTGAATGCGCCGCCTGCGTGCCGGCGACGGAGTGCGCAGAACGCAAATGCCGCCACCGACGGCGACGCCGACGTCAGCGACATCCGTTTGCGTTTCCATCTCCGTCGTTTGCACCTGGCTGCCGCTGCGCAGGCTAAGGCTGCTGCCTGCATCGCTGCCGCTGGCACTGCCATTGGCACTGCCGCTGACTCTGCTGCTGGTGACAGTGCGTCGACTTGAATCGGAATTTGTTTCGGTTTCGTTTGTTGTGTTGCTGCGCTGCTTGTTGCGTGCTAACCATTTGGCGCGCTTCTCATTGAACTTTTCGCGCATCCAGGGTATCATATTGTGGCTGCCATCAAGTCTGTTTGAAATGCTTTTACATTACATGTTGTTTCAGTACTTCTGTAGTGTTATTTTTTCCAATTCACTCAAAATACAAATAAACTGCACAGCTGTTTTTCGGCGTTGCCACACCGTTAGACTCGCTGTGGATCATATTCAAATGGGAATGTGGCCATTCATACGTTCCACATTACAATAATGTGCAGAAAACATAAACATAGACACAAATACTGGTTTTCTCAAATTGTTAATTGATTTTTATAAAAATACTTTTTTATACATGTTTCTTAAAACATGAATTAAAAATAGCCGATAGCGAGAACTCAAACGTCTGCACGTGAATGGCCAGCGATATCAAACCGCGCAGCAACTCTGCATCTTTTTGGCTTCTCTTTTATTTTCCACATATTCACACACACATGCGTATCGTTCGTTGCGGTTCTTGGCATATTAATTTGTAGAACGCGCAAATCAAACTGTAAAACGGAAACCGAAAATGAATACACACTAGAAAAAGTAGAGAAAAAACAACACTACGCAATTTCATCAATGCAGTGCGCGCGTCCATCATATTGGAATATTAATAATTAAATGAAAACAGATTTGTGTTGTGTATGGCGTGCGTCAGTCAGCGAACGAGTCACACAGTCACGTAGCATACAAAAAACAAAAGGAAAAAACAGAAGCAGGCCAATAGAAAAAGAAAAAGTTACATGTGGGTATAGGCATAGAAGCGAATATGATATGAAAGAGATGAGAGCATGAAGAAGACAACGCGCGACGAATAAAATACATTCAGAGCGCGACACAAATAACAAATACAAGCGGAGCAACAAAAAACGAAAAGAGGAGAAAAAGTGCTTCGAAAAAAGCCGGAACGACACAAATGAATGGACCTCAACACTCGTACGCTGCCAAACTACATACATACATACATACATATGCACACATATTCATACAAAACACACGCATACACTTGAAGCACTACCACCACCACCACAACTACAAGAACAACATACATATAACGTAACTTCAGCCTCTAAGCCCAACTGTAAAACAACAAAAAGCGCAGGTAAGTGGGCAGTAAACAGAAGTAGTAACCAAACGAACGGTACCTAAAAGTTCCTTACGCAGCGCCATTTGTTTGTGTATACGCAAGTTCTGCCTGCATCTTTTATATGTGTGTGTGTTTGCGTGTATATATATGCGAGTGAATTTTTGTCCGTTGTCATTAAACCAGTGAATGTGAGTGTGTGTGGGTGTCTCGCAATATCGCATGATTTGTGATTCCGCTTTGATTTGCTTTTACTGTTGCTTTTCTGTTTATGTTTGTTATGTGCCGACAATTAGCTTGCACTTTTATCCAAATACAACACAAAATTGATATCTACGCATTTGTTTATGCTGGCAAGCAGAGCAGCAACAAAGAGGAGAAAAGCTCTCACTCGCGGTTCCGTTCTTGAGTGTGGCCAGCTTTGTCAAACAGTGTTGCTCCCTTCAGCTTTTATTTTATGTGCTCTGTTGTCATCGGCTAATTTGATATTGTGTTTTTTTAACGTAAATAGAACAAATTTTCTTATCTGCTCATTATACAACTGTCATAAGGCTAATAAGTCTATATAACTCTTGACAATTTCAAAAAAATTAACGTATTCAAACAAACTACTGCTTCGGTATTTAGCCTTTTTAGCTATGATTTCACACTGAGCTATTTAGCTTTTTACAGCTTTTTTTAGTATCGCTTTTGAAATAGCTGAGCACTAACAGTTTTTGCTTTTTTCGAGCATCAATATCTTTTGTTTGTTTGTTTATATCGTTTTCGCTAGCATCTAATGACCGAATACTTATCGTACAAAAACAAAATACAAACAATTGCATTGCGATAAAGAAATATTTACGAAACCAATGCGAAAATTTACCGGAAATTTGGAAATGTATATGCATATAAATAATTTATTATACTATTTTTGGAATTTGAATGTACATTATAATTGGTTGATAATTTGAAAAATAAAAATTGCGACAGTAAAATACTAAAAAAAAATGCAAATAAATTAAATGTTTTAATTTACTGGAAACATAAAATTTTAAATTAAATTTTATGAAATTTTAATAACTTTATAATATATTTTATATATATATATATTTAATTTGCAGCATTTTAATATTGCGCTAGAGGGCAAGAAATAGAATTCCATTTATTGCTAACAGAGCAACAGCAACAACAACTGCAACAGCAACGTAATTATTAAGTTTATCAAAAAGAAAAAAAAACAGCTAAATTGTAAGACTAGTTAGGTGAGTAATATTTAATCCTCACTAGATAGCTTAATTACATTACAAATATCTTGCAGTAATTAAATATATATATACACATATATATAAAAGAAAGCAACGGCACCATGTGGAATTCCGAACCAACACAACGCCAGCAGCAACAGAATGGCAATTCTACCTCGGGCAGCGGCCAGACTACCAAACAATTGGGCATTACATCAGCGATTAGCTTGGCCGAGCCGCGTGCCGAGGATTTGCAGAGGACCGAAGAGCTAAGCAAATCCCTGGAGCCATACAATGTCTTCGAGACTCAGGAAGAGCTGAATCATCGCATGGAGATCTTAGCCAAGTTAAACACGCTCGTCAAGCAGTGGGTAAAGGATATATCCGTTAGCAAGAATATGCCCGAAGCAGCGGCCGAGAAATTGGGCGGCAAAATCTACACTTTTGGCTCATACAGACTGGGCGTGCATCATAAGGGAGCGGATATTGATGCCCTGTGCGTGGCACCACGCAATATCGAACGTTCAGACTACTTTCAGAGCTTCTTCGAGATCCTAAAGAAACAGCCCGAGGTCACAGAGTGTCGATCTGTCGAGGAGGCATTTGTGCCCGTTATAAAAATGAATTTTGATGGCGTGGAAATTGATTTGCTATTCGCACGACTCTCGCTCAAAGAGATACCAGATGACTTTGATCTGCGCGATGATAATCTGCTGAAGAACCTGGACCCACGTTCGGTGCGCAGTTTGAATGGTTGTCGTGTAACAGACGAAATACTTGCCCTGGTGCCCAACATCGAGAACTTTCGCCTGGCCTTGCGCGCCATCAAACTGTGGGCAAAGAGTGAGAGCAACAAGCTTACATGTTTGAAGCAATTATTTTACACATCCCTTTTGTGTTTTAGGGCATGGCATCTATTCGAATTCACTGGGCTATTTTGGCGGCGTCACCTGGGCCATGCTGGTGGCACGCACATGTCAGCTGTATCCGAATGCAGCTGCTGCCACGCTGGTGCACAAATTCTTTTTGGTATTCTCACGCTGGAAGTGGCCCAATCCTGTTTTGCTAAAACACCTAGATAATGTGAATCTACGATTTCAGGTATATAGCAAAAATATATCATCTAAAATATGTGATCTTTAATTGTATAAAAATCGATTCATTTTTAGGTTTGGGATCCGCGTGTCAATGCCTCGGATCGTTATCATTTAATGCCAATAATAACGCCCGCTTATCCACAACAAAACTCCACATTCAATGTATCGGAGTCTACTAAGAAGGTCATATTGACCGAATTTAATCGCGGCATGAGCATTACGGATGAGATAATGCTTGGCCGTGTTGGCTGGGATCGCCTGTTCGAGGCGCCCAGTTTCTTTTACAGATATCGTCATTTTATTGTATTGCTCGTCAACTCTCAAACAGCCGATGATCATTTGGAATGGTGCGGTCTGGTTGAGTCGAAGGTGCGCCTGCTAATTGGCAATTTGGAGAGAATTCCACACATTGTCTTGGCCCATGTGAATCCGAAATGCTTCGAGCTGAAGAAGGGCGCTGCGACTGCTAATAATTCGCAGAATAACAGCGGCAATGAGGATGATTTGAAGCAGCAGTCGGCCCAAGCAGCCGTCACTACAGCGCCCTATTGCTCACTTTGGTTTATTGGGCTGGAGTTTGAGCGCTCCGAGAACCTCAACATCGACCTCACCGAGAGCATACAGAATTTCACCGAACACGTGAATATGCATGGCGTAAGTAGCAGATGGTAGAGAGATATAATCCCGGTCATTAATCATAAATTCGATTGCAGGTAAATATTAAAATGTTGAAGGAGGGCATGTCGATTGTAGCGCGCCATGTGAAGCGCAAACAGCTGTCGGTCTACCTGGACGCCGATTTTCTTAAACGTGAACGCAAATCGATGGAAAATCACAATAATTTCAATAATTCGATGATGGCGAAACGCAAGCGCCTGTCGTCAGAGCTGGCGCAGTCGCAAGAGCAGGTGCCGCCCACAAATCCAAGAGGACGCGATAGCGGCAATAAGGTGCAAAGATTAAGTGAATCGGTAAATAGCTCCTAACATGGCTATTGCATTATATAAATTTATATTAATTGGACTCTTTATAATTCTGCAATAGTTGACTGAGGAAAATTCGAATGCCTCTAGTGAAATGGGCGGTGTAACGCCCACGACGCCAACAGCTGCGCAAATGAGTGCACCCAATTTCAAGGCAGGCGCGAAGAATGGCTCCGATAACAACTGCATGGACACCACACCAGAGCAGGCAGCGAATGGCAGCGGCAGCAACAGCAGTAGCAACAACAACAATAACAACAGCAACAGCGCAACGACAGCTGAGGTGGCCTGCTCGTGACAACCGCCAATGCCACAAGCACATCAGCATCAGCAGCAACAACAGCAACAACCACTGCAGCATCATCATCATAAATTTCGCAAAAACAACAATGCGGCCGCGGCGGCTGCTTCCAATAGCATTTTTAATCAGCGTTCTATATTGCATGCGGCTTCTAGTCTAACGGCCGCTCTAAGCATAACCGGACACAAGCGCAAGCATCCAGCAGCAGTAGCAGCAGCAACAACAACTACAACAACAACCGTTGTTGGCAATAAAAACGGCAGCAACAACACAAACTACAGCTACTATATAGATGACGATGATGACAACAACCAACAGCAACAACAGCCACCACCTATGCAAAAACCACAAAACAAGCAACACCCACATCAACAACAGCAACAATCAGCTGCTGCCAGAGGCTTGCCAGAAGCAGCAGCAGCAGCAACAACAACAACAACTGCAGCAGCAGCCGCCGCAACTGCGGCATCGACAATTTCTTGTAAGTTATTAATCTGTTGTCTATTCCTCTTCTCCATCTATCTTCATTCTTTTTCACTTATTTTGCTCAAGACTGTTTTCTTTATTAATGTAAAATTAGTTATGCTTAAACAAAAATGTTTGTTCCTAGTATTTGGCTAATATAATTATGCTTTTCATGGCTTTAAAAGACGAAATCTAAACTTTTAGTAAAAACAAAAAAGTCTCAAAAGAAAATTCTTCACAATTTATATTTTATGTTCAATAAGTTTAAGACAAATATTCTAAATTCTGAAGCTAAGAATAAAAGTTAAGTTTTTAATAAAAGAATAAACATATTTTTAAATTTATATCGTACATCATTTATTTGTTTAATAGCTAAGTAAAACTTAAATAGCAAACAAAAAATTTAAAACGAAAATTGCAAATATTGTACAAAGTATAAATTCAAAATTGTAAATTTAATAATATGATAGAAACTTTGTTAAAAAAGAAAATTTTAAGTTTTTTATAAGAAATTTTATTTCAAAGATTCTTAACTTTGTTTTTAATAATTCTATTCTATAATATTCAATGTTTCTTTAATTAAAATTTTGATTTGAAAATATGACAAAAGAAAAATAATTCAAAAAACGTTTTGCGTTAAAAATTGGCAGGCAATAAATATTTTATGTATTCGAAATAAAACATGAAAAGGTAAAAATAAATTTTCTAATTTAAAAGCATATCATTTTAAGTCTTTAAGCATTTTACACATATAGAAAATTTCTATATAAAAATTAATTTCTTTACCTTTACAGACTTCCTTAATTTTAAAGTTTTCTTTGGAGCACTAAGTTTCAATAATTTCTGTTCTTAGTACTAAATACAACTAACTATAAATATGTATTAATTCAGTTCACTTTAATCCTAAAGCTGATTAATTTGTTTAAACTTTTGTATTTGCAGTGTAAAAAGCTATTACATGTACCATTAAGGCTTAGTTTTTCATAGTTAACCTACCCATTGATTTCCTTTTGGCATTTTAATGCTAACCAACATGATGGAAGCCCATATATTTTATACAAAACGGTGAGTGTTCAAGAAGAAGAGCTAAAGAAAGAAAATGTAAATATTAATTGTATTTCCTTCCTAGGTTTCCATTTTAAAGCTGCAGAGTTTTGTTTTTACTTTTAGTCTACAACGCCAAGTGCGTTGGACATATACATACCATAGAAAACGGACAACAACAACAACAAGAACAACATTTAAAGCGGCTTGAAGAAAACAATTCGCTAATATTTTGTCTTAAGGTTTTCTTCCCAATAATATTTGTTGTACATCTTTTTTACTTCCCACAGCTGGTATTAAGGAATGACTAGAGTGCGGATGAAGTAAAGAGTGTGTAAGAAAGAGAGAGAGAGAGAGAGTGAGACAGAGAAGGAGAGTGAATAATATCAACAACAACAACAGCAACATGAATCACAGAAACGAAAGAACAACAACAACAACAACAAATTGCAAACCAGAAAAGAACTTAGCTATGAATTTTAGAATCTATTCTCTTCTATTTGCCCTATTTTCTTTCTGATTTTCCAATTTTCATCTGGTTTTATTTCAATCTTTGTTTTCTTCTTCTTCTAGTTGTACGCTGAAAATTTGAAACAATTATGTTCGTTTTTCTAAGAAAAGATAACTGAAAAAAGGTAATAACAAAAAATATATAATTGAAATGAAGATATTGATTTAATTTTACCAAATAAACAAAACAAATAAAAAAAAAATAAATAAAAAGTAAAAAAAAAAAAAAAAATTATATGGCGAAAGCTAAAAAAAATTGTATGTGTTTTTATTTATTTGTGGGGCTGGTGCATTAATGGATTTTGTTTTGCAGGTTTATATTATGTGTAGGCGAAGGTGATATATAAATACCTAGAAATCAACTGAAGGTTTCATTTGGTAATAATAATATTGGAATAGCTATGTATGTCAATCCATTAAGGTTCTTCACCACTTGAATGAGACCCATGGAAAAGATTAATTCTACATGAAGTAGGAAGAAATCGGAAACATATACATATTTGAAAAGGTTCAAATACATTTAAAAATATGTAACCTAATCCAATCTAGTTAATAAAGTTTAATAAAAATCTAGACTAGAAATAAGTGCAGAGTTTAACTATGTTTTATTCAATTGCTTTCTTTGGTCCAAATGAAGTTTCTATGTCCCGATGGGCAAATCGTATATTTTTTAGGAAAAAGTTTAAAAATTATCCTCGTACAAAATTAGCTGCATTTAGGTCATATATAATTATAATTTATGCATTAAGTCATCTGGAGAAATACAAATATTATTTCAGTTGAGGTTAATAGTAATTGCAGTTGATTTTTGTGTATATTAAAATTTCAGTGGGCAATCAATCTTCAGAGTCAAAAGCTCTTCATTTGTCATAAAAATTCTAGTTCCTTAATTCCTTAATGGGATATTCAAATTTACAGTTGAAAAGCTCAATGGCTAAGCCTAAAAATCGTATGACTCATTGGAACGAAAGGGAAAATAACGATAAACTCGTCAAATAGCTGGCTGAACAGCCACATGAAATATCCCAATGGGTTTTAGATAATACTAACATGATTTTGTATGCATTATTATGCTATACAATTATTTTTTTTTTTTTAGTGTTTCTAAGTATGTAAGAATATTGTGTAAATATATTGACAAGGTATTTATATTGATATTTCATATATGTTGTTCATAGCGATCTTTCTGGACTGGATAGATTTTAACTATCAAACTCATAAAGTGACAAAAGCTTACTAATTGAATTTTTTTAGTATCCATGTATTAAAAATAATAATAATAATAAAGAATAAAATAGAAGTTCTTCTTCAACGCAATTCTTGTTGTTTTAATTTATAATTTAAGTTAAGACGACCTGACAACATAAATCTTGTCTCTATCCTCTTAACTGTCAATCTGTTAAAGCATGCTCTATGGCGCTGCAAAAAGTAACTTTGGTTTCTGGAATTTACGGATATTTTCCATGAAAAATTATGTAACTAAATGTACAGATAAATATTGATGAGGTCTAAAGAGTCACTGGTTGTTATGACTTTTCTGGATAGTTCAGGGGACAATTCCTATCTCTAATGAAAAGAAAATTTGAACATCTTGTAAACTCGTACACTGAGAGATCCAAAGCGGACAACTGATCTTGACAAATCCAAAGGAAGCTGTTTATATAAGAGTTCGGCTGTCGGCTGGCCTGCTTTAAATGTGAAGTACAGTTAAGTTTGGGAAACACCATAATATTCTCATAGAACAAACCGAAAAGAAGCTGCATCAATGAGTTTATATGATATTTGGTCTCCGTTTGGGTTTCCGTTTGGTCACAGTCTTCCCAGAGTACAGTTGCAGCAAGGACACCATAAAGGACCTAAGCACAGTAGCCGATCTGCACAAGCCAGACACACTTTACGTACAGTCCGTACAAAAATCGAGTGGCCGGACGATCGATGTGGGTTTTTGGGCGAAGTAGTAAAATGGAAGCAACTGTGCTTCGCACTAACTGAGCAATTAACCAAGCGGCGATCCGTATGGCTGAAATCCGGGATTCCGGATTCGGAATTCAGCATTTGGTATTCAGTATTTGGTATTCGGGACCTAATTGCACTTCTGCGAATTTATGCCGCGACACAGCTGCGCGTTTTTACCCAGAATATGCGAGATTAATCCGTTTATGGCCACGGATTAAGTTGCAAAATTTCTTCACGAAGGCCGAACTGCGAGTTCCAGGGAATGCCTCGCTAAGCACAGGTAATTCCAGGTACCAGGCACCTAGTCCCATCTCAGGTACGCCTACGTCACAAGGTATATAAGTTCAGGTTGCGCTCATCTAGGACATCAGTTGACATTCAAGTGTTTGTGTGTAAGGATCGGAGTGGCACAGTGCATATATATATACAAGAACAGAATATTATAAGGTAAACTTTGTTCAGTTTTGCCGGGTTCTAAGTTGTGCGCATCACTGGGTGAAGTTTGTCGTATAATCGAAACGAAACAGCAAGGAAAAAGTCCAGTCATTTCAGTGGAACTCTCGCAGCTCTGCTTTTGGGATGCATTTTGTGCAGTTATGTCTAACGATTGGAAACCCATCACTGGGCAAAGTGTGTCTCAAAATTGGGGCAACTAGCACAAAGGAGGAGTGTTTCAGTTCCAGTGTTTCACTATCAGTGCTTCACTTTCAGTGTTTCCTTTCCAGTGTTCGAAAATTATAAAATTTTAAAATTAAATGGCGATTGTCGGTATGGTCTCTTTTTCAACATATACACCAAACATTCTATATAAAGTGACTAGACCGAACACTCGTGCTATAATTTTAAAATGTTCAACAATTTCAATCATAAAATTTCTAGTGCATGGTTCAAACTTAAAAAGAAAACAAAATCTATATCGTATAGAGGTTGCAATTAGTTTCTTTGGTCGTCCAGCCTTAGGTGATTTCTCTGATCATAAAGCTAGACAACCATTGAAGTTCGTTGTGGCATAAGCAGCGCCTATATATAATATATATATATCAAAAGTTTTTATGACAGTTCAAAACTTAAAACACGATGAATGGGCCATGCGCTAAAAGGAACGATCGTTGTGATATGCGTTAATCGACCGTTACATATCACAGTGATTTTCCTTTATAGTGCGTGCAGTCCGTCAGACTACAATATGAATGTGAATATATATAAGTGTGTATATCTATTTCTCTAGTGTTTTTTCGCCTTTAAAGTAGAGAGAATAGATGCTGTGAGTATATCTGTTGCATTTATATCACAGTGGCTGTTCTTTTTGTACCTAAATGGCCAGGCAGCATTATTTTTCGCCAATTGCCAAATATAAAGTGAAACATGAGCACAGTATTCGCAGACATATAGCCAGAGAGATTGCGTTTAACCGCAGGGAACTGCTGCTGCTGATATACTATATGTATTTGTCAGTACTCTATATCACAGTGGCTGTTCTTTTTGGTTGCATCGCAAATAGCCAACAATTTGTCTGCGAAATAAATCTTGAATAGTGTTATCTTAAGTATGTGATTTGTTCAGTTTCAAATCGTGGCCGTAAATTGCTTAAAGAGAAGAGAACGTTCGCTGTTGATGTAGTCGAATTCATTTAATCTGTATATCACAGTGGCTGTTCTTTTTTGTTTAACAATTTTTCAACGTTGAGAATGGAGAATTTGGAAAGATCCAGTCGAGAGAGAGAGAGAGAGTTACCTTTACTGTGAGCTATATGGAGTTGTCTTATATGAACTTATTGTAGTTTAAATTGATTATTCATTAAATAAAAGGTTAATGTGTATATATATTCTTTTAATTAAAAAAAACTGGGAAGTTATAGAAATTTCAAAAGTTTTTCTTATGATCAAAACCTAAGCCTCAAAAGCAATCCCATCCAAAGTGCTTTGAGAAAATTCTAGAAACAAGCAGAGTCTCTCTTTCTCTGTCTTTCTCTTTCCACTCATTGCTCATAGATCGATAACTTCACTGTTTAAGCAGAGTTTGAACATCAGAGGACGAAAATAAAATACAAAACATTACAGATTTAACCTATTTTGGGGTTGAGGAAAAATTACCCACTTCCTTTATACTCTTTTCAAGGAGACTTGAAAATATATCCTGAATTTTTTGATATTTATTAGAGTCAACAGTCTATATATATGTATATATCTATAAATAAAATCGTTTTGAAAATCATGGAGCTTTAGATAAAAGTAACCGAGTAACTAGAAAATACTTTGACCTATTAAAGAGTCTAACGTTCTTTGTATTTTTTATTAAAGAACTACAGTTATTGTAGATCTTGTTCTATACTATAGATTGAATTCGTAGTTGGTATTTCTTGTAGGTCGTCTTCAGTTAATAAACATTTTTGCACGCATATTTGCAGCGAGTTTTGCAAAATCTTTTTTTTTTTTAGTGCAAAATTTTATTCGCACTTCCGGCATTTAGTTTCCTTTTCCTATTTCTATTCCGTTGGCCAGACACGTGTAGCCATGTGGCATGTGGCAGCCAGCGGTGGCAGCAACAATGGCAGCCATTTTATGCACTCTTGGAGCTCCGGTTCTGTGTGTTTGTGTGTGTGTGTGGGTGTAGGTAGCCTTGCTGTCGATGAATGTCATTCTACTTGGCAACACGTCCCCACATACTCGACACACATTGTTGCAATAGAAATTTAGTATTATATACTTTTTACAAAGAAAACTGTTTAATATTATATAGAAAACTAGTTTAAAAATTGAATTTATAAATTAATGTATATTATTTTCTGCATTTAGATTATTTTTGTTGGTTAAGAATGCTCCCATTTGCTGAAATGATAGATGTATGTATATTCTAAAGATTAGAATCAAATATTATACTAAAAGTAAATTAAAGTTAAAAGTAACCAAAATATCGATTTTTTATAATATATTACAACTCCTACATTATTTGTTTAGTAAAATATAAATTTTATTTTAAGGCCGTTAATCCGTTAAGTTGCTCATTTAGCGGTCTACATTATACAGTAATTTCTCAACGATTTAACTAAAATTTTGGACTGTTATTTGAAGGAACTTAAGAGATTTTAGAATAATAATAATAAAGTTTTTAAATTTCAGGTAAAATGAGGCGTAGCATAGGCTGCAATGATTTAAGTGATTTAATTAATTTCCAGTGCATATAGGATATATGATATGATTGAATAGAAATTGACTACTAGAAAGGGACTACACTTAACTTTGGGTTATACCACCTTTAATAAGTGTGGCACAATTATTTTGTCAAAATGCGTTGCTCCTAAAAGAACTAGAAATTCGAGACTTTGTGTAGGTCGATTGAATTTAAAACTATATGGGGTATGCCACGCCGACTCCTGCCTGTTAAATACATTAAAAAAACTGTAAATTGCCATTTTATTTTACTACATATTGAAGCTCATATCTTTATTTATATGTGAAATCTGTTTTATACTTAATACGTTTGAATATGGTATAATAATATGTTACTCTCAACTATATCTGTCAGCTAGTTAATATTTCTAATTAAATTTTTTGTTGGGTTTTTTTCTATACCAAATAAAATGAAATGTTTTTTGTTTTCTGCTTTCTGTTCACATTTTAACTTTTAAACTTGCAGGAATATGCAAATGATGACCTTTTTTCCTGCTAATTATTTTATGCCACTTTGCTGGCAAAGCGATACAAATAGTTCTCGACGCGAATCTTTGTGCGTAGCTCCCTGCGTGAGGTTGTCTCGGTGGCGGCGGTGGTGCCGTTGTGATCGTGGAAGAAGCCGCAGTAGCGGGCGGGCACAAACTGCTTGATGTACTGGCGCTTGCGATACCGCTCGACGACGCTCAGGGCGCAGTGCTTGATGGTCCCCATCTGCTCGGCCATGCACTGCCTGCACATGTCCTTGTCGCTGGCGAAGCTGTGGAAGTAATCGCCTTTGGGCGTCTCATGGCAGACGATGCAGACGGCATCGTGCTTGGGGCCACAGAAGACGGCGACTGCGGGCCAGATAAGGCGACAGCTGCCGAAAGCAGTTTCGATCTTATAGTTCGGATACTTGTTGTGAATCGAATAGGTGGAGGGACTGTAATACCGAAGGCAATAGATATCATGAGATGCTTACAGAATCAAAATGAATGCTTTACCCGGGAGTTAGCCACTTGGGCAGTGTGGACACCTGCCGGTCGAATGTATATCCAGCGCGTAGAACCCAAGGCGAGGGCTCATAGGTGCCTAACGGGGGAATGATCTGATCCCGCACAACAGGCAGACGGGGCATCTTGTTGGCCAGTGCCGAAAATCCAGCATTGGAGGGATACTGCAAATGGAGTAGTTTAAAAGGGTAGAGGAAGATAAGCATATAAGAAATAATAAATAGATGAAATGGAATATAGAGATGAATTATAAGATGTGTATTCCAGAAAGGATAAATACAGTAATATAGATCTCGATAGATAGATAAATGGAGATAGCAAATTATCGATTATTATCGATACAAAGGATGAGCTATCGAAAAACTCGAATAAACTCGAACTTCGTATACATGAGTATACTAGTCAAATTCCGTCTCCAGCTATTGTGGCTTACGAGATCTCGGCGTTCGTACGCTCAGACAGACGGATAGAATGGCATACAACTAGAAATGTGAACAGACAAACATAACATGAAACATATAGTTATTAAATAATAATGGGTCGAAATATTTTAATGGATTGAGACTAATGTATTGAAGAAAGTAAAATAACAAACAAATAAATATTCAAGAAGCGATACAAATAAAGAGAAAGTTATCGAATACAGAATATTCCGAATGGGCACTGCTATCAGCGAATATAGTCGCTTGGCTTACCTTAAATCCAATTGGCTTTGCGCAATCATAATCCAGTGGACCGGGAAATTCCCGTAGCTCCGTCTGTAGGGAACGCATGTAGCTGGACATAGCTGGACCACTAATTGGCATTACATCGCGGTGCATCGTTGAGCCAAAGGCCACTTTTGACGCCACGGGCGGATTGACCACATATTCAAAGCCTGCAAGAGACAGAGACGGAAGCAGAGACACAGACAGAGAGAGAGAATGTTAATTTGATTTTCCTTTGGGCATGGCTTGCGTCCTTAATAAGCACCCAATGCGCGATAGCTTGCCAAGATCATCCGCGCCTCGGAGCGCTGCCGGCGCAGCTGCTCCCGTTCCTGGGCAGTTCTCTGTTGTGCACGCATCGTGGCTTGCCACTAGACTGAAATTGGCTGGGGCGAAAAATTGATGGCTGACTGGCAGCCAGGTCCTGCTTTGACTGACAGGGCGACACGCATGGCACGCACCTGCCCAAAAGCCTGCCAATGCCTCAATACTCATATCTCCTGCACCTGCTATCAATAATCATTATCATCATCATCACCGTCATCGTCATCGTCATCAAAATCAATACGATAAACGCGATGGCATTTGAATTCCTGCAGGCAGTCAGAGGGTCTAGACAGCGCTTTATTCCGCTCCACTTTGACCCAGTTTTGTCTTTTAATAACGCTCAATGTGGCATTCACTCGGTAAGTGGGTCGAAAATCTGACTTTGATTTTGATTTTTAATGGCAAAAATTGCGAAATTGATATCTCAATGAAGTTATGCACAAAATGGAAAAGTTAGGTAGAGTACAAATTGGTTTGTGGAACGAAAAATATCAATAATTGTATTAGATTATATT